AACACCGTTTACTTCACCTTGACAACCAGTTTCGGATTCTTCCAATTAAGAAGGAATTTGGCGCGCAAATCATCTGTAGAGTCAGAAATCTGCCGAAGAATAACCTACTTGGTAATAGCTGCAATACATAAACTGACAGGAGAACGTGGATTGTCGGATTGGTGCGGAATCAACGGCATGAATACAGCGGAGACTACACTATGAAATAGCATCATAATGGAGACAACATTCGTGACCAGGGACTGCACAATCAACGCATCTTCTGAGTAGTGTCGATAACGATCTATTTATTTTGACGAAGTTATCTTCGTTCAACATGGATCGACATCAACACAGCGGATCTTCACCCATGGAAAAACAATGAAGCTGCGTGAAGACATGTTCTCCATCCACGAGACACATCATCACATAAATTTGATCGACAAGCTATGGGATTGCAAAGAACTAGTCGTTTTCTCTTGCAATGCTCTCTAGTTCAAGTTGCTGCGAAGGAGCAGATTTCGCATGCAACGACGACGTAGTGAACCCGTCTCGTCAAGGCCAGCGAGACAGTACTTCGTACAGGAGCTGATCGATTGGTTTTCATCAAGAATCTCAGCCATCCGAAGTGATTGATTGGAGCAGTCTCAACATCAACCTCACGAGGCGACACACCAATCATGCGTGCGATTCCAGGTGTTAATGACCTGCGTGGAAAACATTCCGTGCATGTCACGATGCTTGACAGATTGAGGAGTAATTAACCTTAATCTGGCAAGTACTCTTTCACTAGCGACCCTACGACATATGCATTGGAGGCGATTCTACAGAAGCCGAAGCGTTACAAGCATCAGCGTAACTTCGACGATGCAGGAGAATGCCAAGCAACAGGTGTCAACAAATGAGGGAGATGGGACTACTACAACACAATCATGCGCTCTACCGACCGTACATGGAGGCACGGATGAGCATACCAGGAATTGCTACGTGGATACATTGAGGGGAGAAGCAAATTTCTCTTCATACCCTCAAATGAAACAATCACCGGCAGCAATGGAGCAACACATATGTACCAAAATGCACGTGTTCCTGGTAGTTACGCCTGTTACACCATCAGGAAACTCTACTAAGATGGGAGTTGATGGATTCTCCTTCAACCATTACGAGTTAGAGAATTCTCTGCAGCAGCTGCCGCCGTCGCCATTCGTCGCAACCGCCGCCGCCGCCGCAGCAGAAGACTCGACACAACAGTCATATCCAAACCCTGATGGATGATTCTCCGCTCAATGGAGATAATGCTGGATTATATTCCAGTGGATCATAAAGTCCTGGCCAGGCACATATTGATTTCCAGCTAGTGGGAAGGAGATACCACTATGCGAGGAACAACATGGCAATGCCTATACCCTCAAGAGCAAGATATATTTGCTCTTATGAGGATGGGAGGACACGGTACTCTACCGGTATACAAGTCCTCATGGCCTATGGCTTTCCTTAAAGTCATAAAACCTGCGTCACAACCAATCCATCACCAGCACCAACTCCACGGAAGCAGATAGGCATAAAATGGAGCGCCATCGCCACTCCGGATAGTGGACTCCGCATATCTCGAACAACACCCCTGTTGCCGAAATGGAGTAAACTTCAACACTGATGCTGAGTAGCTGAGACATCTTCGACATCAACACTACTTCAAGGACACTAATCGAATGAGACAACACATGATGGCACCAGAAGACCTATCCCAATTGTGCACCCAAACACTGATGCCTATCGATGGCCTTCGTGCTAAACTGGAACTGCATAAGGTCATACTGGATTGGCTGTCACCAATGCCCACTTGGAAATGGGAAAAGATTATTTGGGAATAGCCCTAACATTCCCAGATGTCCTAACCCATCACCGTGGGATATCTACGCAGTTGAGATTCCTTGCTTGAGCAACCACCAAGGGAATACTTATGCACCAATTCTGGAAGTTACTAGCTCCGCGCTTATGGTACCAGCCCCTCGCATGGTTCAGAACACAAGGGATACGGTGAGCAATACTTCACATGCACTGTTGTACTCAAGACAGTGTAACTAGCAGACCACGTGGTGGACAAGGTTACTACTAGTAATTTTGTTCTCCATTCCATAGCACTACGATGCCGAGAGGGTACGACTCGCGACAACACTAAGGCATGGATGAGCATTCAACAGAAGCTGCATGTATCGGATACAACACAGCGACAGAAGCAGTATTATGACACGACTGCCATACCACCAACACTTGGTGATCTTCACACGTGGACCAGATCCGAGTAGCAGCATGCACATATCGGACAACATAGCCATTCATCTGCACGTTACAGCACACTGTTCCAACCACTCAAATCTCCAACTACGACTTGCACCTGCCCATATATCACTGACGACGATACACGCCATCCTTTCTTGCTGTGGACGGAGCCTGCTGACTCCGTAGCAACAGACAGTTCTTGTTACAGTCCAACTGGCTTCCGATTTCATTGCCATCATCCACCATCTTGTAGATCGACCACACAAGCGCCTCTTGGACATCCAACAACAGCACAAGCACTTGGCCACTCATCACTAACGTTATCCAGACCGTAATCTTGACATCAGCCATCCTCCATCCAAGCTTCAACCTTGCTTCTGCGGGTCTATCATCGTTGAAGCAAATGTCACTTAAGTCACCTTCCGCTTCCGCCTACCAGCCACTTGGAAGATCCATAACGCCTTCCATACCAGCGTCTTAAATCGTATCAAGACCAAACACGCTCTACACCAAGTGCTCACGATCGTCGCCGTCGTGTTCGTCCACGCCATGGGACACGTGCTCGGACACCGTCATGGTTGAAAATATAACCGTGTCTCATGTCTGAATTCAACATGGGTAACGCCCATCGTCCTCTTCGCGACTACCTTGTCAAGCAGGGTGTTATTTCTACCACCCAGCTTTGAGGAAGTAGTAACCCCGTTACACCAATTTCTCCTTTCCATATTTCCTTTCTATTTCATTCCTCATTTTATCCTGATTCATTTGGTATTTATCTCATCTCATTTGGTTTCCTACTCCTCCTTTTCCATTATCCTTTGGTTTATCATGTTATTATAATTATATCACCGACCAGGCTCGGGATGTACTGGCCCGCTATATCTAACGTAATCCTGCCGTAATCTCTTAAATCCAATAGCCTCGCGTGGCTATACGCGTGGTGATTTATTTCTACAAGGGTCTATTCCCTTTGGATAGGATAACTTGGTTACCTGATGTACTATGGAAGCATAAAAGCACTTTGTACTCATGGATAGTGGAACATTGAGCAAACCTCATTCGATCCTGTGACACCCGTTGTGGGGAAACTGCGTCGACATACGTGTCGGTGGATCTCCAAGATGCCATCTCGGTGTCGATGTGAGCCATCCACTTGGAGGCCCAGGGTCCCAAAGTTGCCTCAGCGTAGGTGCAAGGGGTCGGCATATCAAGAGCGTCTGGTCACCCTCAGGGGCTAGCAGCATGAAGTAGAGATGACGAGCGACCGCGGACAGGAAAGCTAGCTCGTACCACCTGTCCTCTAAGGAGGTCACTACCAAGGGCAGGTGCACCCCCAACAGACGGAAGACGGGCAGGGTCGGAAACCAGAGCAGTGGCGTAGGCGGCGGGTAGAGGCAAAGTCAGCGACAAGAGCGTCGAGACTGGAGACAAGAACGGACGGGTCGGTGACTAGAGAGGCGAAACATGAGGAACAAGAGGACGAGCAACATGGAGGAAGTTAGAGAAATGAGGTGGAGAGACATCGAGCGACGACTGAGGAGGCGACAGGAGAAGAGGAGCAGGAGGAGCACGAGACACGTGAGACGGAGAAACATAAGGTGACAAAAGTGGAGACACTGGGGGAGACACAAGGGGAGACACGGGGGGAGACACAGGAGGAGACACAGGAGGAGACACAAGGGAGAACGAAGGGGGAATTGAGCCGCAGACGAGTCCGACGGAAGGAAACAGGGCCCTAGATAGGAGGAGGAGATGGCACTGGGGGAGGTGCAGGCGATCGATCGGGAGAAGGAAGACCAAGAAGGCGAAGGGCGGACACTGGCGGCGTCTGCTGCTGCCCCGCGCCCACACCAAAACCTTCAGCCGCACGACTGCTACCTCTAGGACTTGCCACGACAGCACCCCTAGAACTAGCACCCCAAGATCAGCACCCCCAGGACCAGCACCCGCAAGACCAGCACCCTTAGAACCAGCACCCCAAGAGCTAGCACCCTCCTGAGTGGTAGTACCCCAAGCTCTAGCACCCCCAGCGCCCAACGACCCGTGCTGCCACGGCGGCTGCTGCGGCGGCGTCGGCGGCTGCTGCGGCGGCGTCGCTGCGGCTGCGTCTGCTGCTGCGGCGGCGGCGGAGGAGACCCCAGGTCCGAGGGTGTAGGAGCCACAGAAACAGGCAGCGCACACCAAGCCTCAGGGCCCCCAGAGTCAGGAGACTCCTCCGCCGGGCCAACTGAATGAAGGGGAGTGACGTGAGATACACACAGCAGAGACGGGGAGCGAGAGCTACCAGGGGAGTCGGGACAAGAAACAGTGGCGGGGTGACTGGGAGACCTCATTGAAGAAAGCGGGTGTAGAAGGAGATAGACTCGTCAAAGGTGGCGTCACGCGAGTGAAAGAAGCGATGACACGGCGTGTGGTAAAAGTGCCAGTCAGACGCGTCAAGGTGAGGCAAAGAAAGGCACAAGGGATGGTGCACGCAGTGAGCTTTTCCACGCCAGAAGCGCGAACGCGAGCGTAGCAGCCCTAGACGTGGAACATAGACGTGTCACCAGGGGACACGGTCCAGAGCTAATCTGATCCATATGCATATCGAAGACCGGCACATGACGACGTACCAAGCTGGGCCAGTCCAAGAGGTTCGGCACTGGGCCGAAGCGAAGACGAAAGAGGTCGTCGAGGCAGCGGTAGCAGCGGGCTGCGATGTGACCAGTGTGGCCACACACGGTGCCACGAAAGGGACCAGAATGGAGCTGGTACCAGCAAATCACAGAGCTAGAGCGCCACCTGACGTCGAGCTGCGAGGGCCGCCACTGCGGCCACCACCACCAAAGCCGCCGGGCCACCACGGCGGCGGGGGTCCCCTCGGCTGCTGCTGCTACTGCTGCTGCTGCCGCGGGGGCTGCTACTGCTGCTGCTGCTGCTCCTGCTGCTGCTGCTGCTGCTCCTGTTGCTGCTGCTGCTGCTGTTCTGGGGCGTCAGCTCCCTCTCCCTCGTCTAGGAAGGAAGGCGTCACATGCAGTGGCTAGGCGGTCGGGAAGGCGCGTGGCTAGAAAGTAAAGGGTGGTGCAGAGTGGGGGGGGGGGGATACGGTGAGCTGGGCCTCAATGCTAGCAGCGCGGTAGCTAGCCTCAAGAGCGCGCAGGTGGGTAGGAAGATCAGCGACAGTGGGGAAGGACGAGAGATCAGGGAAGAGCAGGAGCAGAAGGAGACGGCCAGCAAAAGCGGAGGAGGGGTGGAATAACGAGCAATGACACTGTCTAACTACTCCTTCGCATTCTCAACAACCTGAAAATAGGGACGTTCGGACAAGGAGAGAGCGTGACTGATAGCAAGCTGCGCAACTGAGTTACGCAACTTCCGGACAGAGCGGGCGAGCTCAGCTGTTGTGAAGTTCGCACATTTAGCAGCATGGGGGCGTTAGGTTGGGCAGCAGGCACAGGGGGGCAGGGCAGCTTACTGTCGACATGGACGGCCAGGGACTAACTCTCCTCGCGCTGGCCCTTCAGCTGGCGACGAAGGTTGGAGAGACACGCCTCAAACTCGACAGCCCGATGCTCCGCGTCCAGGCGGAGAACAGCGCCCGCCATGAGGCACATCGGCAATAGCTGGAGAGCTTAGGCGGAGGAGGAGCAGGTGGCAGCTGAATGTGGTGGAGGGCGGTGGAATGTGGTGGAGTGCAGTGAAGCGCGGTGGAGTGTGGTGGAGTAGAAAGTCTGTAGGGGCGCCGCCTCGGAGGAGGAACCAGGGCCGGCGGCGTGTAAGGGGCCGGCGGCAAGCAGGAGCAATGCGGCGAGCTTACGCCGGCGCGGCTAGCTGGGGCGGTGCGGCAGGCTGGGACCGCGCGGCGAGCTGGAGGACGGCAGCAAGCTGGGGGCCACGCGGCGAGCTGGAGGCCGGCGGTGAGCTGGGGCCGGCGGCGTGCTGAGGTGTCGCGGCGAGCTGGGGGTCGCGCGGCGAGCTGGGGCCGACGGCGGGCTGGGTCCAGCAGCGTGCTGAGGGCCACGCGGGGGTGGCGAGTTGGGGCTGCGGCGAGCTGAGGGCTGCGCGGTGAGCTGGGGCCGGTGGCGAGCTGAGGGGCTGACAGTGAGCTGGGTCGGCGGAGAGTAGAGGGTCGCGCGGCGAGCTGGGGCCGTCGCGGCGAGCGAGGGCCGCACAGTGAGACGAGGCCGCGTGGCGAGCTGGGGCCATCGCGGCAAGCTAGGGCGGCGCGGCAGGAGGTGGCCGACGCAGCGGGCTGGGCCAGCGCGGCAGCTAGGGACACGCTAGGCAGGTAGGGGGTAGCGCGGCACGGCAAGCTGGGGACCGATGCGGCGCGGCAGCTTAGGGATAGGGTAGGCGCTACGGGAGGCTAGGGCGGAAGCGTGGGTCAGTGGGACCTACCTAGTGTGATACCATCTCTGAGTAGCCAAGTAACTAGATCAAGCCAGTACAAGCAACATTTAGGGTTGAAGTTGTACCCTCTAACACAAACCCATCTAACCTATACTTACTTATACATATAAGCAGATGTATAAGTTGACACCAAGGGCCCAGATTGTATTGGATGAGGTTGTCCTGGTTGTAGGAGCTTCACATGCTTGTGCTAAAAACAGCTTTAGTCACAAACCTAAGGCATGCTCTAGTATGGCTAACTGACCAACCAAGAACAAGCACCACACAACCCCCCTACAGTAATTATCCACCTACTGCTTTAGTGCTCCATTCTGTTCCCTCACGCCCCCATTCGCCGTCCCACTGCTCTCGTGCCACTCATCATCCTCCAGCAGGTGGTCGTGCACCACCTCCAGGTTCACCTTGGCTGCCGCTGCCTCCTGCGCGCGCGCCTCCTCGCTTGCCACGGGCGGCACGAACACAGCACGTGCTGCAGTCGTCTGAGTCGCGCAGCTCCAGCAGCAGCTGCACCACCGACGGGTCCGCCAGCGTGCTCATGTCGCCCAGCTCGTCCTCCTGCCGCGCCGCAATCTTGCGCAGGATGCGCCGCATGATCTTGCCGCTGCGCGTCTTGGGCAGGTGCGGCGCCCAGTGGATGTGGTCCGGCGCCGCGAAGGCGCCGATCTGCGAGCGCACGGCCCTGACGAGCTCCAGGCGCAGGTCATCGGCGTAATCGACGCCCGACACCAGCGTCACGTACGCGTAGATGCCCTGCCCTTGATCTCGTGGTCGAACCCCACCACCGCCGCCTCCGCGCACGCCGGGTGCGCCACGAGTGCCGACTCCACCTCAGCTGTGCCGATGCGGTGCCCACTCACGTTGATCACATCGTCCCACGCCCCGTCAGCCAGTAGTAGCCGTCCTCGTCCCTGGAATAAGGGGGGGATGAGGCGAGGATAAAAGAGGTGTGTAAAGGGCTGCCCCACAACCACAGCTCTAGCAATGCTCATCAACGTCCACAACCATCCAACTCCTCACCTGCGGCAGCCATCCCCCGAGAAGTAGAAGCCCTTGAAGGGCGCAAAGTAGTTGGTCTCGTAGCG